GTGTGTGTGTGTGTGTGTGTGCACGCTCACTGATGCCGTTGTCTCTGAGGTATCCAGCCAGGCCCTGTCTCTGGTACTCCGGGTCGTTCTCCCTCTTCCAGGACTGGTACTGGTCACAGGACAGGCCTGCATGCTGAGACTCCCACTGCAGAGACATACACCTGCAGAGTTCACTGGAGACCTCCTGATGACAGCATGTGCTCATGGTGTGTCACCCTGACAGGCTGAACTGGTCCCATCATGTCACCCTAGACTAGATTTGATTCATTTATATCTATATGTACACATATATTATACATACGAAACCCAGAACGTTTGACCCGAGTCACACAGTTTAAAGGCAATGAGACCAGATACTGAGGAGATGGATGGAAAAGTCTGACTCTGAAGAATGTCATAGAACATTCTCTCTCTCATTATCCTGGTGTTTAGCTGATAGAGATAATGTTGGTGATCCTGACTGAGCTGAATCAGGAAACGTTTAGATTTAATGTCAGACGGTGACAAAGAAAAGGTTTGATGTCGTTTTATACGAGGTGTGTCAGGAGAGCGGCACTGTGAGGCAGGGTGCAGGAAACGATGGAGTCCCGACCGACCACACACTGAGCTCATGTCAGTGTTTGTTGCAGTTTGTATAATTAGTGAGGCAACTGTTGAGCCTTCTGGAAATATAATATTACAGGTAAAAGTGAACAAGTTACATCTGCTGAGTTTATGGGTCGCTGAGCAAAAACCTTGATGAAGCAGCGCGAGCATTAAAGAGTTTGCTTGTTTACATACACCTGTCAGGATTCTTTGGTTGTGTGGCTACACTCAAATACTGATGCACAGCACCGCCTGGTGGCTACTGAGGTACAGAGCAGCAGAGCGGTAGCAGCTACAGTGGACGATCCAGTGAGGAAAAGACTGCAATCATCTGTTTAAGCTGATGCTCATCGGCGACTCCGGTGTGGGGAAAAGCTGCCTCATGCGCCACTTTGTAGACAATTCCTTCTCTGACGACATCAGCACCACCATCGGTGTTGACTTTATGATCCGGACGGTGGACATTGATGGAGAACGAGTGAAGCTGCAGATTTGGGACCCAGCGACAAAGGAGAGGTACAGGAAGTTGCTCTCAGCTTTCTACAGAGACACCCACGGTGTCATCATTGTTTACGATGTGACAGATCCAGACTCTTTTGTAAATGTAAAGAGGTGGTTAAACAATATTATCCAGAACTGTGACAACGTCTGCAAGATTCTGGTGGGAAGCAAGAACGACGACCCTGCCAGGAAACGGGTGGACACCCAGGACGCTGTGCGTTTTGGGGAGTCGGTGGGCATTCGTGTCTTCGAGACCAGCGCCAAAGAGAACATAAATGTAGAAGAAATGTTCATGGCCTTCACCCGCATGCTTCTCCGGGGCAAGAAGCAGTTAGAACCGAGCCGAGAGGGAGAAGGACATGGTGAACATCAACGCCCATGAGAGACCGAGACCGCAGAAGAGAGGAAAGAGGTGGTGCTGAGGCGCCGCCCATCCACCGACCCAAAAACATGAACTGCATCCGGATCAGATCGGTGCCTTCGGACCAACTCTTCATTTACTGCGAAACCTAAACTGAGGGAGTTTCAGTCTGCAGCACTGAAGCCGAAGCAGCCGGGGGTTAAAGGACCATTCTGGGGTTTTTAACGTGTTTAAAGGTGTTTGTTCTGCTGGTAGTGGAAGATGGAGGGTGGATATCGATGTTTTCATCAACTCCTCACTGCACAAATGTGACGTGAATCTCTAGTCTTCATCTGCTTCGATTGTGGGGAAGTTTTGAGAGTTAAAATATGAATTCCACAAAATTTCGCAGCGTTCAAAGTCATATAAGGCGACAGAAACCTGAACAAAAACCGTCACTCTCAATTTATCCTGCTTCCTCTGTAAATCTGCAACCAGTCTGGTGATTTGGTGAGCAAGATATTGATTTTGTCTCAAGTTGGGGGTGTGTATTTTTAAATTAAATCTATCTCAGTATCGTATTAACTATGACTTCATTCAAAGGAATCAAACGAAGTATCGGCCTGTTCGCTTGTAGATGTTGCTGCTTCCTGCCCAAAGGCCAACCATCTCTAAAACATCTAACTTCAGCATCATTTTTGATTCCTAAGAAATCTGCTGGTTGCATTTGGGAATAACTGTGATTTCAGTGACCTCTCAGCTCTGCACTTTTTCCTTGTTATCTACTAAAAATTGTCCCTGTGGCTGTTCTTGTGCTAGACCTGAGTTATCTGCAGATTATTTTTGTGATTAATTATACAGAAAACTTGTTGAATTTCTCGCTGACGTCCTCAAATGAGTGTAACCCCAAATATTGCGTTTACAGTCACATGGGAACAAAGTGAATCCTGGAGCCTGCAGACGCTCACATGAAGGCATTGTTTCTAGAATCCTTTGGATTTTCTCTCGGCAACCTGACAGGTGAGATTTGTAATGATAGCAGGAGTGTGTAAACCCTCAACTGTGTCTGTCAGGCACAAATCTGCCTTTGAAAACTAAATAACCCACTGACTTCTGCAGACTCTGATTAGATCGACTGAAGCTTTTTTATTCCTGCGATGTATCAGGAACACATCTGATATCGAAGCATGGCAGCTTTAAATAATTTCAGTTCAGTGTCTGGAGGCAGAACAGCTGCAGATGTTTAAAAAAACCCTCATATTAAGGCTGCAGCTGTTGATTATTGTCTGGATTTATCTGTTATTTGGTGTTTAAAAGTCAGAAAATGTTGGAAAATATCCATCAATGTTTCTCAAAGCCAGAGAGTCCCAAAGATATTTAGTTTAGTGTCACAGAGGAGGAAAGAAACGATTAAATATTCACACTTTAGAAGCTGCAGCCACTGATTTAGAATGATTTCATCTACAAAAAACTTAAACTGATTGATTGTCAGAATAGTTGAGGATTCATGTAATGAAGCGATGAGTGGCTGCAGCTTCACACACAGGCTTTACTGTCGGAGCGTTTTCTCCCAAACCACATATTCATCAGAGGAAACAGAAGTATTTCAGAAAATGTGATGTTTGAGGGCTTTTGTAGAATATTTGGTTTGAGTTTTTCTTTCAGAAACACCATAAAAATGTACCAGTGGTCCGAAAAATTCTGTTTCATATTCTTCTTTTTTTAAGTTTTGCTTTCATGCTCTCCAGAATGAATGAATGAATGAAAACAGGATGAATACTTGACTTCTTTTGTGCAGCAGCGTTGGGAAAAATTAAGTTTTTCCTCTTTTCCGGCAGCCAGATTGCAGTTTCGACTTGACAGCTGCCTAATAATCAAACTAAAGAGAATTTACGTTCTTTGTATTTTGTTAAAATCTGATTAAATCGCTAAACTTGTGAAATCCTGAAAATCGAGCTCTTTCCTCTGCCGCTACAAAATAAAAGCATAAAACCTGACATGTGGGTTACAACACTGATGGTTCATATTTTACTGCATGTACCTTTAACTCCTGCTGTTTTCTGCTCATGTTGGTCTTAATCCCGAACACGCCTTTAACTCTGAAAGGGAACTGACGTCACTGAAAGCTAACAGGAGTGAAGAGTAAAGCAGAATTTACTGGAAGACTCAGAATCCACGAGCAGACTCAGCTTCTCGTTTAATAACTACATCTGTTCATATAAAGATAGGTTGATCGTCCTGTACACTGAAGTGAATGGACCTGTTCTAATTAATATGTCCACCCTACTGACATCCATGACAGCATAAATAATATATAAAATCTACATGACGTATATCTTTTAGTTTTTTACTTTAATCCTAAATTCTGTGCTGAAGATAAATCCTCTTCTTCCACGTCCCAACTTGCTAGAGGACTAAGCTGAGGGTTACCCTGTTAGTGGATCCCGACCACTGACAGAGGAAGAGAAGGACATAAATATAAATATATATAAATATAAATATAATAGAGAGCCTGGTACTCACGGGCTTTTTACACTGAGCACAGAAACTGTTGCGACACTGGAAGCAGGTGACTTTCAGCTGGTCTCCGTCGTAGATGAACCCATACGAGCACTGAGGAGACCAAAGGAGAAGAAACAGCAGGTGAGAGGAGACAGGAGAAACCTGAACACAATCATATCGATCAGGGATTATTGACTGGACACTGATTCATGTGGAGGTGTTTCCTATGAGTCCGAACACATTTAAACGTCACCACAGTCAGTCGGCCTCATTTCATTGTGATTCATATCCAGGGAACATGCAGCTGTTGATGTCTTCAGGAATGAAACATGATTCCTCATGTTCACGGAGCATCAGACCAGCTTTCTACATCTACTCCACTTTTTTTGTCGTCTCGGTCTACACACAGTGTTCCACAGTGACACAGCAGAAACGTTGTGTACATAAATATCTGAAGCCTTTGTTGTGAGAGCTGTGGTGCATCCTGCTGCTATCAGTGGTCCTTGAGATGAATCTACACCTGACTGAACCCACCTGTCTGTGATGATCAAAGGCTCTAGTCTGATGGACAAAAAGTGAGATTGTGGTTTCATTAGACCAAAGAACTTTTCTCTAGGTGACTTCAGGGTCTCCAACATGCCTTCTTAGATTTAATATGAAAAAATGTGTTTGTCTTTCACATTTTCCTATAAAGCTGGTGAAGATCACAGAGTCTGCTCTACTCTGTTCATACGACTGCTCCTCCATTCACTGCACCAACACCAGACCTGCTGATGACACCACGATAGCAGGACTGGTACCAGACAATAACCAGACAGCCTGCAGGAGCTTCATCAGCTGACAGAACGGTGTTCCCAGAACAACCTGGACCGAAACACAAACCAACCAAGTCCAAGTTTGAGGGAGTCCACATCTCTGCTGACCTCACCTGGACCACTACCATCACCCAGCAGGTGGGAAAGGCACAGCAAAGACCTCAGCCTTCGTAAGGAAGCTGAAGCAGGCTGGCCTCCCTCAGCACCTGCTGATTAACTTCTAGCAGTCGACCACAGAAAGCCTCCTGCTGCACGATGTGGTCCAGCAGCTGTACAGCAGAGGACAGAACGGACCTGCTGAGTGTGTGATCAGGACCTCGTTAGACCTCCTCAGAGACATGAGTACTGATGCACAGGCCAGCCAGCTGCCTCACAGAGGACCCACTCTACCTGGACGTCACCTGCTCCCCTCATTCTGACATCAAACTGGTTTTCTTTGTAAAGTCTTGTCAGAAAAGCCAGATTAAACTGACTATGATTCAGTGTTGGCTCTAGTCTGGCACACTGAACAACGTCCCGATAAAAGAGTCCTTTTACATCAACTAACTTGTTTGCATCATTTTTGCTGACACACATCTACTCACATGGCAGCACCAGAGGAACTTGGGGTCCTTGATCAGAGCCTGCTCCGTCAGCTTCTTGTGGAACAGCTCGTAGACTTCTGGCTCCAGACACTCTCGCAGCTGCAACACATCAAAAATGTTCAGAGGTGAAGATACGTGTTTGGTGCCCACGTGTTCCACGATTTTGGTCACATACAAAACAACGAGTAGAGTTACGGTAACGTTTAGAGACAGATCATGTGTTTGTCACTCAGCAGACGCTTTTACATGTGAGAGCAGATACAGCACCAGCAAGGATCATGTGGTGCTCCCACAGACTGGTTATGTGGCCAGAAGGGACACATGTAGAAACCTATTCTGCTGAAGAAACTCATCATCTGAACTGGTTCTGTGTTCAGAAACCTGTCCAAAGAATCACAGTTGGCATCTTCAGCTTCACCACCATGGGCAGGACCAGAGCTCTATCATAGATGTCAGAGACAACACTGTAGAGCTCCACAAGGCTGGAAAGGGCTCAAGACCATCAGCAAGCACCTTGGTGAGAAGGTGACAACTGCCGGAGCAATCACCCACAAATCAAAGTCAGACACAACAGCTTCAGGTGCCCTCCGTCTGGAGGAGCTCCACAAGCTCACCTCGGGCAGCGTCTCTCGTCATCAGAAAGGTCGAGGACAGTCCCAGAACTACACAGGAGATACTAGTTCAGGATCTCAAGGCCGCTGACCAGTTAACAAACAGCTCTGACAACTGCTGGCAATCTGTCTGCAGCGTTTAAGAGAGCTCTATAAGAAGGTGGTCTGCTGGAGTGGAAAACGCTCTACAAAGGAGGAATACCTGAATTCAGGTCTCAGAAGATGGTGGTAAAAACATGCTTGCTTTAGTTCAGACTCTCTATTAAACAGCTGACAACAGTCGTCCCACTTTCTGAGGTGACCAGGCACCCACACTGGTCCGTCTGTGATCCTGCACTGTTGGACTGTGAGTTAGATGGCTGCTGCCTCTCTCCATGGTTCATCTCCTCCCTACCTGGATGTCCAGGGTAGAGAAGTAGCTGTTGAGGTGTTCAGGGTCGTTGATGTCGGGCTCCCAGCAGACCGGACACACCATGTCTCTGATGTGTTTGTCCCTGACAGCGATGGTGAAGTGCTGCTGGAAGCAGCCACAGCACACGGAGCACTGGCACGACGTCAGGGACTGCATCTGAGAACCGAGGGAGGGTGAAAGACAGCACAGTATTACTCATAGGTCATACCTCAGCGGTGCAGAACTCACAAACATTCACTGTCCATGTACCTTGCTGTGGGGGAAGATAGAGAGGCAGATGGGACACTCTTTAGCCAGCACTCTCTTGATAAACTCCCTGTCGTGGGACTCCTGTACAGCCTGCACTACGTCCTCCAGCGAGTAGGGGGCGCTGTGCTCCAGAAGCAGGGACAGAGCCAGCTCACAGCGCCCCCAGCTGGGAAGGTCATACACTGCCAGGAGCCGCCGACATATGCGCTGAAAGAGAAGAACAAGATCATGTAGAGGACGGACTTCAGGCTCGACTAGATCCTCCTGAACGCGTTAACAAAGCTTCACATAGACATCAGACAGGAAACATCAGTGGCAGGAGGGGTGTCGGAGAATCACACAGAAGCACAGATGAACCCAAATCACTGCTGCAGTAAGAGCGCTTGATGTCACAGAGCTGACCTTCTCTGCATGGACCAGGCCACCGCTCTGCTGTGGTACAGCGCTACTGAGAGGTCTGAGGGACTATTAAGGAACATTTCCCTCCTTTTGTTAACATAAAGATGCATGCTTGTAATTTAGGAGCTGCATATACTGTCACGTGGGGGAGAATAACAGAGCTAAAACTTGTGGGCCTTGGAGTCCCAGACTGAGTGTGCTGGCTGACCACCCTGACGTAGAGCTAGCAGACCAGGAGCCTGGTACAACGCCTCGGCCTTGCCTCTGCTTCCAGAGTGGCTTGATATTAGGAATGCAACAGCTGAAATCTCCTTCCACAAGAAGTCTGTTTGGTAGCTCTTGATGCACTGACACCAGCCTCAGTCCACTCCTCCCAGCCTCCTAAACTGACTTGTCCTGACAAGGCTGTGTCACCCTTGTTGCCTTTGCACCATCAGCTATCACACTTTTCCCTTCCGATCAACTTTCCTTTAACATGCTTCCATACAGCACCCTGCCAAGAGCCCTCCCTTCAGCAGTGATCTGTGTTCGACCGTAGCGAGGAAGGTGTCACTGATCGTCTTCAGTCAGCTGTTTTCACATGGCTACGTCCAGTGTGTGCTTTCACCTGTTTGTCAGGGTGATTGATGTCTACAGGAGGCTCAGGCGTGTCGCTCCAAATGCATTTGTGGAAAGGTTCCAGCAGGGGTCGCTGCAGCAGGGCCAGGGCCCCTCTCACCTCACCACCGCTCTGCCTCAAGACCTCGTGACACTGAGCTTCATCACTGAAGCCGAGCGTGCACAATTCCTTTACCTGAGAGGGCAGGTTACAAAGACAACATCTCAAGTCAAAAGGCAGACTGACGGAATATTTCTGCACAGCTCTGAACATGGAGCCCTGTTGTCACCTTGGTGAGTCTGTCTCTCAGAGCCTGTCTGGCAGCTCGCTCAGTGTCGCCTCCTGCTATGAGCCAGGCCTGCTTGGCCTCTGCTCTGGACAGCTGGACCACGCTCTCTGTTTCTGTCAGCTCTAACTCCTTCCCGGCATCTTCAGCGGGACTTTCACGTGACTTGGTCTGTGTTAAGCACAGAAAACACTCTTCACAGTGACAGTCAAAGGAACATACGTGTACAGGTCTGATCTGTGCTGAGGGAAGCCACTGACTGTGTGCTCTGGTGCAGTCTTGTCAGAAACAGGCTGAACCGAGGATGTGGCCACCAGCATCCTGATCTGGTCTAACAGCAGAGGAAGCTCTGTCTTCAGCCACTTGCAGGGCAGGTTGCTGCGGTCCCCAGCAACCCTCATGCTGGTGTACACCTCCTCTGGACTCACTCCTTTCTTCTCCCCATCCTGACACAGAGAAAAAAGATAGATTTACATATAGACACTGCTTCAGTCTCGATCTGGGGGTGATGACAGGTGATGAAGGTGACTTGCTCTGATTAGCTGAATTAGCTTTAGCCCTTCCTCTTTCATCAGCTTCTGCCTCCAGGAGTCCAGGTCTGCAGGGGCAACCTCTTTGGGTTTAATTGACAGGGCAGGGACCCGTCTGACAGGAGAGGGAGGGCGGAGCTTCACAGGCAGCGGCGCCGGCTCTGGACGGGCCAGGTCACACATCTCACACACTGTAGCCGGAGAGTAGTTCAGATAGGTGCAGAACTGGCACACCCACTGGAGCACAGAGACACAGAGACACAGAGAGGAGGAGGAGAGAGTCAGAGCAGGTTTCCCTCGCTGTAGTCTCTCCTCCGGGGTCATGATGCTCTTTAAGACATCCACCCAGATGCACTTCTCCTATATGCTGGATGACAGCATCCACAGGACTGGTCCTGGACAAACATGCATTCAAAGGTTTGTCTGACCCTAACATCTCCGAAAGCTAAACTTGAGCCTGCATGCTCATCATGTGTTTCACAGACAGCCTTGAAGCGGAGACAATAAAAGATTTGGCTACATCAGCCCTGATCTACTGAAGCCTCCCTGTAAAGACGGGGAAACTAAGGCTCATGTATTGATTATCCTCAATAGTATGAATACAAATCTATCAATAAACATGCAAACTTCATATACAACATGTACAACAAAACCACATAAATGAGCCACAACATTCAAAGCACAGCCCCATAGTGTGCAGGTTGACATGGGTTGTGTCTGTGTGCATGTCTGCATCATGACTCCACACAGAAAAGAACCATACGAGGAGAGAAGAAATCTGACTGTGTGGGTTCAGTATATGGAAAAAGGAAACAGGAAGCTTTATGACCAACAAGGAATACATAGAACAGCTGCAGCAGTAATCAGGAGGTACAGAAACCAGCCTGCAAGGAGGTCACCACATGTTGGACCGTCTCATGTTTCTCTGATTCTCTTGTGTTCATACGTGTTAGTAACTAAAATGTGTAAAAGATTTTGGTCACAGGTGTTTTAAATTCTTAACAATAAGTTTAGTTATGTTGACTTTTGCGTTATTGTCTCATCGATCTGAGGAGCAACGTTTGAAGCGCCATAACTTAAGAAACAGCGTAACTACAGTCCAGAAACGCTGCGACTCGTTGGTGTGTACGGACGGTCTCCAACGGTACCGCCCTGCTTTGACAGAACTACACAAGCCAGTTATATGCAGAAGGTAAACAAATGTCAGTATTTATGTTGACTCCAATGTTCCATCCATCCTTCATTGCGCTTTACGCCGCCACCGGGACACTTTGCAAAAGAAACAATACATCATCCATCCATCCATCATCTCTACACCTTCATCCTCACTAGGGTCATGGGGGGGCGGAGTCTATCCCAGCTGACTCAGGGTGAAGGCAGGTTCACCTGGACAGGTAACCAGTCTATCACAGGGCTACACTTAGAGACAGACAACTGGAAATTAATTAGTTAATTTAATTAATCAACAATTGAATTTCCCTTCTGGGATAAATAAAGTATTTTTTATTCATTTCATTTCAACCAAGCACACTCACATTCACACCTACGAACAATTTAGAATCACCAATTAACCTCAGCATGTTTCTGGACTGTGGGAAGAAGCCGGAGAACCCAGAGAGAACCCACGCTGCACGGGGAGAACATGGAGACTCCACGCAGAAAGATCCCGGGTGTCCTCACCGGGACGGCAACCGGCGACCTTCTAGCTGTGAGGCCACAGTGCTAACCACCGATCCACTTGCAGCACTCCAATGTTCCATGAACCATAAAACCTTTCTGCTCTGGGCACCACTACAGCTCACCGTTGAGCAGCGACCCATAAACAGGACTGAAGCTCCCCGATGCAGCGGTCGTGGGTTCGACTCCTGCTCACGACCCTCTGCTGCAGGTCTCTCCCCGTTCTTCTCCCCTTTCCTGTCTATCTACTGATCTGAATAAAGGCAGAAGCCCAAAAATATATTAAAAAAAATAAAAATGGTTTTTCACCCTAGGAGGCTGAACTGTTTTCCTCTGATTGGCATCTTATCTTTGTTTACCTCAGTGTCGCTGCCTCAGCTTCTGAACAAGGATGCAGCTTTCTGTGGCACTCCTTCCTTTCTGTGCCACTTCTTCCTTTCTGTGCCACTCCTTCCTTTCTGTGCCTTCAGCCTCTGCTGCCGAGGTGAACTGATCGTTAGCATCATGTGGTAGACTGGCTGGTGTCATAGCTAGAGGCTGGCTGCTAGCAGCACTCTGCGACTGTGTTCGCTATTCTGGGGGAGCTGCATGTAAGGGCATGGCTCTGACACACTGCTGTAGGCATCGCATCAGCTGGGGCTAACTTCCTGCCTCACTGCTGAGAGGAAGACTCTCCTACCTGAAATACTGACATGATGGCATCAGAACAAACGATCTCCAAACACACAGAGATGCTGACCTGGCTGTCGGGGTCACCGGGCATCCCCAGTACTGGTGCTGGTGGTCTCGGGGGGGTGACTGGTGGGTGTGAAGAGGTCACTGGAGGGCGTGTGGCCAAACGAGGTCTTTCACACACTTCGCATAGAACACTGCTGGCTGCGTTGACCATGGTGCAGCTTTTGCACTGCCACTCTGAGACACACACACACACACACACACACACACACACACACACACATGTGTCAGTCATTCATTTACCTGAAGCTCAGTGCAGGTGTTTCACAGAGTAAAGGCCTAAAATCAGAATTATTCAAAACTATCCTGATGGCTGAACCCTAAAATAGGAAACACCATAAAAACACATTACGCTTGATAAACAAGTATTTCTCGTTTCAGGGATCATGAGATGCTGAATAAATCAATACATGCATTTGAAGTGACAGAGTTTAGTGATGATGTGACAGCAGGAGCTGTGACTGAAGCAGACGTCAGGTTTAATGATTGTCTTGTTTCTATGTTAAGGAGGAAACCAAACATGGAGTTTGAACATGTAGCTCATTACTGGGATGACTGGGATGACTGGAGCTGTGGGAAGCACCAAAACAACAACACAGACCAGAGATGGTGGCAGGCTGACAGTCATTCGCCTTAAAGCTGGCGGGTTCTAGTCGAGGATGCTCACAGTCCTCACACAGCACAAACTGGACCGAGTTGACTTTAGTGCAGTAGAGGCAGCACCACGTGGAAGACCTGGAACAGAGGAAGAGGGACGTTATACTGTTCACACTGGTCCTGTTACCACCCTCATGCTTAAACTGTCACTATACTTGACTGGGTTTTAACTTTAATTGTTTATTCTTATTTGTTTTAACGGTAAAGTCCTTCGTAAGTGTGTCTTTTGAAAGCTGCTGTCCAAATGAAGTCATGATCATTATTATATTATTATCGTGTCTCAGAGAGCCTCCTCGCTCCTGGATCCTGGATCCTTGTGACTCTGAGCATGAAAGGCAACCCTGGACTGAATGATCTGTTGTCTGACGTAGACGGACAGACAGTCAGCGGTGGACTGATGGGGTCTAAGTGTGACTGGTTTCTGTAGGCAGAACTCCTGCTCCTGACCTGTGACTGCTCCTGTTCCTGGATGTGACCGCGGTGCGCCGGTGGTTGGCCCTCTCAGGGTAGGAGTGGTACAGCCGGTCACACTCTGAGCAGAGGCCCTGGACGCAGGTGAGGCAGTGGGTGGAGATACGGAATATTCCACAGATAGTGCAGTTCTCTGGAGAAACCACAGCAGGGTCATCACATTCCTTTGCCAGGCTGGTTTCCACTAATTCATATGCCTCAGTATCACATACTGTGGGTATGAGCTGCAGAGCTACGACACACTGAGCAAAGACAACACACACAGTGCCTGGAACAAGCATGAGCCTCACTGGAAACTCCCTTTTGTTGCTTTTCAACATTTTAGCAGTTATCAGTTACTTCAGCCTGTAAACGGTAAACCCCGTGATGCCCAAGCATTCACCCGTTATGGATCTTTACTCTTCTTCGTCAGGCTGCTTTGGGAGCAAATGGTCCCGCTAAAGTCCAGCCACACAGTCTCAGTGGGACTGAGGTCTGATCTCTGACTTTTCCCTCCAAAACATTCACTGTGTCGTCTTTAAAGCATTTCTGTTTCGCTTCAGACGGATACTTCCGGTTTTTGTCCTTCTGGAAAACAAACTTCCAGCGTGGCAGTCCACTGACGTCTGCATCAGGTGAGATTCACGTTTACATTCTACCTTCACCAGCCTTTTATATCTCATTAAACGACTGATTTCACTTTCTTACATGTCTTCCTGTAGAGATTCACCATGAACTGTGTTCAGCATCAGACGTTCTCCTACTTGACTGGTGAAGAACAGACAACACTGGTTGTTAGCTAATCTCAGCCGTTACAGCTGGTACTTGCTTCAGAGGAGTCATAGGAGTCTGGTAGCCTCCATCACTAGTCTCCTACTAGTACCTCCTTCAGAGGAGTCCCTGGTGTCTCAGTGGCCTCCCTCCCTAGTCTCCTTCTAGTACCTCCTTCAGAGGATCAGCTGGTGTCTTGGTGGCCTCCCTCACTAGTCTTTCATGCACAGCCCTTTAGTTTTGGGGACAACCTTTTGGAGACATAGTCCTTCTGTCATGAACTCACTAACAGAATGGGTGGACACAAATGCTTGACTCAGCAGGTTCAGGCAAAAGACAGGTTTAATGGCAGTCAGGGTTCGGTACACAGGAAATCAGTCCAACAGGCAGAAGTATCCAAGAATCGGCAAGCAGAGGCAAGGTCCAAAAAGCAGAAACAAGGTCGAGATCAAACAAGCAAAGGTATCCAAAATCGGCAGACAAGAGGCAAGGTCAAAAACCAGAAACAAGGTCGAGATCAAACAGACTGTGACTTAACTTGGATAACGCTGGTACGAGGACTGTGAAGTGCAACGAACTGGCGACGAGACAGTGAGACACACAGGGTAAAATACACGAGGTAATGAGGGTAGATGGGAAACAGGTGCGGGGAGGTAATCAGGGAACAGGTGAGACAAGACAGGTACAGGAAGTAAAACCTAGAACCGAACACCCAGTGAAGTGATTTCAAAATAAAACAGGAAAGACGAGACATAATGTGCAGACATGAACAGAAACTTGACAGACATGACACCTTCTGTTTCTTAATGATGCATTTGGCTGCACTTAGATGGATGTTCGACGACCCGTCCCCTGACTTTTTACATTTCCATACCCAATGTGATGTCTATCCATATTTAACTGCATAAATATTAACATATCTTAACATTTCTATGTGACGCCCAATTGAAACAAGAGCGTGTGTGTTAAGCTGGGTAAGATTTTCACAATGTTGTCAAGTATTCACGACAAAGAAAAGCTTCTTGTTCGTCTTCTTCTTCTAACATGTACAAACACATGCCTGTGAAGTAGTGCAGAACAACGGTGACGTCTCTCCTCACCTGGATGCTTAGCTGATGAGGTGGAAAAGACCTGGATGGACCTCAGACCTTGGGGGTTGGTGGTGAGGGAATGGCCATGCCTGCTCTCCCTGATGGAGCGATGGTGCAGGGGGAGGGCTAAAGACTTGGTCTGGCTGTCTGAGTGACCTGGATTGGAGGGGCTGGTGTAGACCACAGCATCCGTGTTTAGACCCACGTCCTAAGAGAAGAGACGAGTGGCACTGTAGGGTATCATGAGATCCACAATAAGAGATGGTTCACTCAGCTGGATCATTACCAGCATTATCAGACCAGTTGGTTCATCAGGAAGAGCTTTCCTTCATCAGGCCACAGTGCGACCACAACAACAAGAGGATGATGACAGGTGTGCTGTATCTGTGGCAATAACACTGCTCTGACATTTCATTCATGTTTAAAAACAGAACCACAAACAAAGGAGTTCAACAACTTGGGTTCTAAAATGAATTAAATAATTTAAATTCTGCGCTGGCCGAAAAAGCACAAAAACTTTTTTCCACTGTAATCGAGGACATCCAACACATCCCAGTAACTGTCATCCACGTTCTTCTATCATCCAGAGGACTGAAACTCTTTCTAGTGCTCTCTCTTTGGTTCTTGATAACTGGGGTGGGTGTTTGCTGTTTGGTGTGCTGGACTGCCGTCAGGTGAGCCAGGTTTTTGGGTGACCGACTCCCTCCGCTTTTGACCAGATTTCCTTCAACGTAGACTGAAGTACTTCATGGCTTATGCCGCCCCCGCCTGGTCCTATCGTGGACGCACTCTGACATCATCGTAGCGTGCCTCGTCATTAGGATTATTAGAAAAGACTTTTTTGGCTCGTCAGACAATTCAAGCCATGTGTGTAGCTGTGCATGTATCACATCATGAAACCCTTTGTTTCCCGTGTGTTTAATCGGCAGCGTTTGGAGAAGAGAAGGGCCAGATGTACCTGACTCATCCATGCTGGGTTTATTCTTCACTGCGTCCCTGTTCTTGCTGTGTCCTGCTCTCCTGGAACACTTAACGGTATGAGTCCCCATCAGTGCTCACAGTGGGCTGCCATCCATTATTGTCTAACTGGCCCAAAAGTTTTCCACATTTCCACAAGCTAGCAAAAGTGACTTTAAGCCACTCCATCGAACAAAAACAGCTTCACTGCATCATGGGTGTTTTGTCTACATCAGAACCTTTCCCTACACACACATCTGTTAAAGATCACCTTAAAGATCCTGCTTAAAAAAACATTTTAAATATATTTGGGTCAGAACCACTATTTGTATGATAAGAACTGAAGCCATTTTCCCCAGTAAACCAATAAAAGTCCTGCCAGTAACACATTTCCCGGCAGGGCGTCAGCAGGGAGCTGCACCGTCCATCCAAACTGTTCAGTGAACGTTCTATGAGCCAAAACTGTGTAAAGCTGAGGACGTCTTCTTGGCAGCTATCACCTGTGAGCAGTTTCCACTGGAATCAAAGTGTATGAAGGTCTCTGAACACAGCCCTAATACTGGTCCACATACTGGGAGAGACCAGAAGTAGACAGTCAACACTGATTCATGCCAAACTGCCGTCTGCTGCTTTCTTCTAACATGAAGATGAAGGGACCAGGTTACAGATATGAGCCTGTATGACAGACTGTACCTTATGTCTCAGCGTAGGAATGATTCTCTCGTAGAACTCAGGGTGCGGATGAGCCTCCTGGGACGAAACCACACAGTCAGGCAACAGGCACAGTATACAGTATACAGACACTAATACCAGCACAGTGGAGCAGCTTAAAACCATATAATCACAATAAAAGCTTATAAAGAGTTTCCTACGGTATACAATGATGGTGCCACTTGGCAGCAGTGTAAAAACATGTCGGCTTCTCTTCTACATACATCTGGTTCAAACCAACCTTTGAACCATCAACATCCAACTGATGCATCGTGTCCCAGTGGCCGGCTGTAGGCTTGCTCAAAGACTGCATATAAATGTGTGTCTGGAGCCTTGACATGGCTTGATCTCCCAGACTGCTGCTACAGGAACTGACACCACTCCTACATGAGTGTAGAGGAAACACTGACAAGGTTTAAAGACTTTTCTATTGAGACAGAAAATGGATCTGGAGAAACTGAGGCTGTCAGCGCTGACAAATGTCTACCATGTGACTATGATGTTGTGTTTTTTCTGATGTCTCTGGTGCCTGCTATGTACGCTATCATCTGGTCCAGAGCATCTCTACCTGGTGTTTCATGTTCATCTGTGCATAGTCCCTGTCAAATAAACCAGTAATGTTGTGACTGATCTGTGCAATGACTGAAGCCCCTCTGTTGGCTCTGCAGCTGGTTTTGATCATCTGCACAAATGTAAATATCAGCATATCAGCACCCTCAGTATTCCTGTAAATAATACGACAGCTTCATGGTTCTTATTTAAATTTAACTTTAACTCTTCACTACACGTTTTGCTTCTGCGTTGCACTATTACAGTTATTTTTATTTGTTGTTACTTTTATTTTTTTGCTCTTTTTATATGTCTATCTTGTACATTGCACCTTACTCTATATTTATTGTTGCACCGACCCACCAGAACAGATTCCTCGTATTGTGTAAACTACACCTGGCAATAAATCTGATTCTGGTTCTGATTCTGCAGCAAACTGGGCAAAGTGTGTCAGAGGAGGAGCTCTGCTGAGTGATGATGTGCCAGAGCAGCATTTTCTACAGACCGCTCATCGTGCACATAAGAAATAATAACCGTCTTTTTATTTAAAAAGAGTTGTAAACCAATAAAATTACATTTTATTGCTCGATGTGTATTTACTTTGTCTTCTGTCTCAGCATCGAGTCGCTTTTCAAAGAAGCTCTCCAGCGACTTAGTTAATTAATGTGAGCAGCGGTTCGACTGACGCTTCAACGAACGCTCTGGCATGAAAACTGAAGTGAGGGAAACGAGCACAGATAGAAGTGACGGAAAGATGGTTTTTCGAAATAAAACACCCTGAGACGTTTTATTCGTTGTGTGCGGCCCGCAGCCTGGTCCCGGCCCGGTAGTTGGGGACTGCTGTGCTCGAGGGCTCGTTAAACTAGCAAATGTAGAAACTACACACACACACACACACCTTGATAAGCATTTCTAGTTCCATCCTCAGGCTCATCACTTCTAGCGTTACTGCAGCAACTCTCCCCACATCAGGATCGTTGACATCATCAGGGAAGCTGAGCCCATCTGGCTGCTGATTGGAGTAACCATAGAGATACAGCACTGCTCGTCCTCCCTGGATCATAAAGTACAGGCAGGATGGCATATAAACTACACATATATATACACATATAGACCAAATAAATATACAGCTGAAACCAGACTTTACATCCACTCTATAGAAAAACATCAAACCTTTCTTTCTCACCATCTGACCCTAAATCAGACGAAACGTTTCCTGTTTCAGCTCAGTCAGGATAACCAACATTGTTTCTGTTTGCTAAACACCAGAATAATGATAATGTTTTGTCTGTGTCCTGTTTTTTTTTTTTCCGGATGTATTCCCTTTATTGTATTTTCTGCTCTGTGCTGCCTCTTGGCCAGGTCGTTATTGTAAATGAGAATCTGTTCTCAATTAACCCACCTGGTTAAATAAAGGAAAAATAAATAAAATAAATAAAATGTTTTAGAGATTTTTTTTCTGACTTTCTTCAACCTCAGAAGTCTACATCCACTAAGATCCTTCAAACTATTTGGGAAAGTCCAGATGATGATGTCACGGCTTTGGAAGCTTCTGATAGGTTAACTGACAACATGTGAGTTACCTGGAGGCACAACTGTGGATGTATCTTAAGGCACACCTCAAACACACTGCTTCCTTTAGTGACAACATGGAACATCTAAAGAAACCAGCCATGATACCAGGAGGAGAACTGTGGACTTCCACCAGTCTGGTTCATCCTTCAGCACAACGTATGTTGTTACCTGGATAGCATCGACGGTGGCCCTGAACACTGGGTTGTTGTGCTTCACGGTCCTCCAGTATTTTGGTCTGTTGGGATTCGTCAGGTTGCAGCCATACTTTTCTAGTATGTTTAACGCTGTAGACAAGCGCTGAAGAGATGCGAGGGTCTGCAGAGGAAGCAGGGAGGTTAAATCATCTTCAGTGTCAAGTTTATGCAATAAGTCACAGCCAGGCACAAAGCAGGAGAGCAGGCTTATTATAAAACTGAACCAATTCAAGATGAAAACTCCACTTCCATCTACCCACCATCCACTCCATCCTGTCATCCCATCCTCAGCAGATACATACATGCTCTAAAAGTCAAACTGTTCCCTCAAACGTGATGATCTATGAAATGTTTCATATACAGTATGTGTTAAACGTACTCTAACAATCAGGCTCATCTTCGGTTAATTTAAAGAGCTTCTGATTCTGGAGAAGTTAAAGAGTCTCCATCATCTCTGGAAAGTATTTCAACCTCTTGTGTTTTTTCAAGCTGAGCCAAAGCTGATAGCAGCAGGCTGAGGCAGTTTAGATCATGTCATGTGTCCTCATTTGTCTTGGAGTGCAGTCTGAAGTGATGTGACTCGTTCTGAATGGTGTGAGGATGTCAGCTTCACAACTAACCAAACAGACGTACACGATAAGGAAATGGCTCCACTGTTATTTACATCAATGCCAACCAGCGGAGAGCAGCTCCTCTGATCTTCCCACACAGGTGGATCCTCTGGTTGGTAGGACTGCAGCTTTACTGCAGTCATCAATTGATGCTGTTGGCCCATTGTGAAAGAACCCTATAAACTATCATCAGCCCTTGTGTTAAGGGTATTTGGTCTTATGGATGTTGGGGCTTGGTCCCCAGTCTCGTAAAGTGAGGAGGATGATGATGGTATCGCCCCTCGGACACATCGTCCTGGCTGCTTCCTGCCATAGCATCTTTGTTGTACCTCATTAATCTCTCGCTATGATGGTGGTTTGCGTTTACCGACACTAGAATACTGAGCTAGAAGTTGTTTCTTAGTTAGCTTAGGTGTTGGGTTGCAAAGCTTCCATAGGCCCCACCTTCTCTGTAACCCTAACCCCCATCACTGGCGTTTCTTATATCGTAGTAACAGTCACATGTTCTCTGGCCTAGCCTTAGTCCATGCTAATGTATTGTTCCAGTAGCCAACATCTCATCAGGCTTCCCTGGTTACCCAACACGCCATGGACTTGCCACGCCCCTAAATGGGATTCAAACCTACTGAGAAGAAGGTAGGCAAGGTAGATGATATAGATAGCTAGATTGACCAGTCGATCAGTCGATGCCTTGCCCCTACACATGTCACACCACTCACCGTTCTAGGAGGGTATATCATACGTCTCCGTACTCTCACCTCTTTCCTGTTGTTGCCGAAGCTGTTCTCTATGACCATGGTCTCTGCAGCAATGTGGCGGTATTTGGAGCACGGTGGTAAGGGCAGGTTAGCCAAAGCCATCACCCCAGTGCGCACCTCCACCACCCTGCCCCCAGAGTACAGGCACACCTCAGCTCGACTCCGTGCATCCTGCAGCTGCTCCGACAGGGACGGCATGCTCCACACAGACTGTCAGTACATGCACAGCGACATGGGGAAAGCAAACGTTACAGCCATGCATTTATTTTCAGTCCTGATAAGAGCTCTCATCCAAACCCTGCCATGACCCCCCAGCCTCAGCCCTCATCTCCCTCCTCTGCTTCTCTTCCTCTCTTCTCCCTCCTCTCTCTCCTCCTTGCTGGCCCTCTCAGTCCATCCAGCCCTGCTCTACCTGCCCGATGACAGGTGTTAGAGACAGCTGTGGTAATCCGCTCACCTGCTCGCAGTCATCTCACTGCCAATAAAACCCAGTTCATTGCACCACTCGCTGCCAGACCAGAAACTCTGAAACCCTGTTTTCCTGCCGGTCCCCAAGCTGCCTCCTGCCTGCCTTCTCTGAGTTACCACCACTGGACCTGGCACCAGCCCTCACCAGACCCTGGATTCCCCGAGCCTGTCTCCCCCTTCAGTTTAGGGCTAACATCTCTTACCTTCCCCTCCCTCTGAATATATCACTGAACATCAGCCTGGGACTGCCGATGACTGCCAGACAAGCTGAAGAACATTCAAAAAAATAAAAAATCAAAGCAATAAACCATGTTACCCTGCAGTCTGTCAGCTCCAGCTGTTCACACTGATCCTCTAATAGTGCTGAAGTTCACTTATCAGAGATTTAAACTCTCTCTCTGATGTAATTTGCTACATGTCTGTGTGTCATATAAATGTTGTAAATGTCTTTATTTATTGACTAGTAACTGCTAAATGGCAGTTCTGTCCATATTCACAGATTGAAATAGTCTGCGTCGAACTCCCGAGAACCTCATGAAGGTTCAGTGTCTGAGGTGGCATCAGGCTGCTGCTGCTGCTGTCATGAGCAGGAAGCCTTCAGCACCCATCAGTCAGCTGCACCACCCATCAATCATCTGCACCCATCAGTCATCTGCACCCATCAGTCAGCTACACCCATCAGTCAGCTGCACCACCCATCAGTCAACTGCACCCATCAGTCATCTGCATCACCCATCAGTCATCAGCACCACCCATCAGTCATCAGCACCATTAGTCAGATGCAGCCGCTCAGAGACTCGGGGTGT